CTTGAACTTGGAATCTTTCTGATCCAGAGCCCTCTTAAATACTCTCCAGCCTGCCTCCAACGCCAGGGTCCCTTTTTATGTAGGCAGCCTTCCACATCCCCAGGTTCCACATCCTAAAATTCAACCAACTATGGATTGAAAATATTTGGGAAAATAACCATTGCATCTATACTGAACACAGGCGAATGTTTTCTTATGAGTCCTTGAACAATCCAGCACAATGACTGTTCACCCAGCAGTTACTTACATTGTATTAGGTATTGTAAGGAATATAGAGACGCTTCTTTTTTTGGTGGTGGTGGTGCTGGGGATTGAACCCAGGGCCTTGTGCATGCTGGGCAATCACTCTGCCACCTGAGCTATATCCCCAGGCCTAGAGATGATTTTTAATGTATACTAGAAGAGTCAAGTATGGTGGTGCACACTTGTAATCCCAAATACTCAGGAAGCTGAGGCAGGAGGATCAAAGGTTCAAGGCCAGCCTTGGCAGCCCAGTGGTAAACCACACCTGGGTGTTCAATCCCCAGTACCAAAAAATAAAAATAAAAAAACATCCCTCCCCAGCAGAGTGTCTGGCATGGAGTAAAGATGCTCAATAAGGGAGTGAGGTTATGGCTCAGTGGATGAGCACCTGCCCGGCATGTGTGGGGCATTGGGTTCAATCATCAGCATGGCATATAAATAAATTAAATAAAGGCCCATTAACAACTAAAAAATATGAAAAGTATATACGTGTGTGTTTGTGTGTATGTGAGTGTGTGTATTAAAACTGAGTGCCATACACCTATCATCCCAGCAACTTGGGAGGCTGAGACAGGAGGATTGCAAGTTCAAAGCCAGCCTCAGCAACAGCGAGGCCCTAAGCACCTCAGTAAGACCCTGTCTGTACATAATATACAAAATAGGGCTGGGTTGTGGCTCAGGGGTCAAGTGCCCCTGAGTTCAATTCCAAGTAACAACAACAACAAAAAAAAGTGCTGAAGCTGTAACTCAGTGGCGGAGCGCTTGCCTAGCACATGTGAGGTACTGGATTTCATCCTCAGCACCACATAAAAATAAATAAATAAAATAAAGGTATTTAAAAAAAAGAATTTTGAGTGAATAAATGACCTCATGCAGTGCCCATGATCCAGCTATAAGGCCATTCCACGGATGAGGAGACTGAGGCTGAGCGAAGCTGCAGGGGCTCTGAGGGCTGCGGAGACTCCAGCCTGTGTGAGTGCAGGGCTCTTTCTCTGCCACCTTTCCCCTGGGACCAGCCGGGGGGGGATGCTGACCCAACAATCCCCTGTCTGGGCCCAGCAGTTTATCTGCAGAGCTGGCGCAGGTCAATATTGGAGCTGGTGGGGCTACCTGGCTCTGGAGGGTCACAGAAGGGCAGGGACAGGGCATCGGGGACACAGGAGTTCTGTAACAAAGGTTGGGAGGGTGGAGCCAGCCAGGCCGCTGAGTGGAGGAGAATGTGGGAGGAACCCCTGGGCGCAGCTGGCCAGCAGGCTCCCTGAACCTCTGTGAGTTCACCTGGGAAAAGACAATAGCAGTCACAGTCTGGAGCCAGGTGTGGTGGCTCGCACCTGTAGTTCGGGTTACTCAGGACGTGGCACTCAGGAGGGTCCCTTAAGCCCACACGTTCAAGATAAGCCTGGGCACCGGTCTCCGTGGCCCAAGCCTGTAATCCCAGTGGCTCAGAGGCTAAGGTAGGGGAATCGCAAGTTCAAAGCCAGCCTCACCAATTTATGGAGGCCCTAAGCAGCAATTCAGTGAGAGTTTTCTCTAAATTAAATACAAAAAAGGGCTAGAGATGTGTCTCAGTGGTTCTGTGCCCCTCGGTTCAATCCCCAGTACCAAAAGAAAAAAAAAATCAGCCTGGGCAACATAGTGACATCAGCCGACATGAAGTATTTAAAATGCAGAAGGCTTCGGGATCAGGGCACCTATAACCTCCTGGCACCTATGACCTCCTTGGGGTCGACCTGGCTGGTGACTTGGATCCACAGACCAAACGGCAAAACAGACTTGAAGAGTTGAGTTAGGGATGTGTAGCCATGGGCTGCACCAGTCCAGTCGGGTGCACTCTGCACTTTACAGTTGATTCCCAGTGACTCCCAGAGGGACCCTAAGGGACCGAAGGTGCCAGAGCTGCTCAGTGGTAGAGCAAGTGCTTAGCATGCTCAAGGCCTTGGGTTGGATCCCCAGGGGGGAAATGATGGAAAATAAGGGACAGTGTAGGAGACAGAACAGAGCACAGGGTGGGCTGAGGGCACAAGAAGACCCAAGGGGCAGAGCCGAGCCCAGAAGAGATGCCATGTAGTCAGCTGTTATTTCATTTACTTACTTATTTTTGGTAACAGGGACTGCACCCAGGGGTGCTTAACCCCTGAGCCACATCCCCACCCTTTTTTATTTTTATTTTGAAAGAGTGTTTTGCTAAGTTGCTGAGGCTGGTTTGAACTTGGGATCTTCCTGCCTCAGCCTCACAGGTCACTGGGGTTACAGGCATGTGACGCTGTGACAGCTTGTATTTTTTCAATGCAGTATTGGGGACTGAGCCCAGGGGTCACAGACCTAACCCAGATACACCCCACCACCCCATTTTCTTTTTTCTTTCTTTTTTTGCTGAGGCTGGCTTTGAACCTCCTGCCTCAGCCTCCAGAGCTGCTGGGATTAGAGGAGTGTGCCACCATGCTCAAGTGGCCAGCTGATTTGACAAAACTCCACAGTCACAGCTAGGAGAAACAAAGTCTTCCCCACAGACTTTTCAAGAACAAATGGAGAGGGGCTGGGGTTGTAGCTCAGTTAACAAGTATTTGCCTCACATGTGTGAGGCACTGTACTGGGTTCAATCCTCAGGGCCACAGAAAAAATAAATAAAATGAAGTTATTGTGTCCATGTACACACACACACACACACACACACACACACACACAGACACCACAAATGGACAGCTCTATAGACACCAGCCTCAACCCTAAACTCACACCACAAATATTACTCAGGGATGGGGACGGGGCTCAGTGGCAGAGCGCCTGCCTGGCATGCAGAGTCCTGGATTCCGGCGCCAGCACTGCAAACAAAACCTGAAACATAACGTGAACTCAAAGTAAATCATAGGCCAAGCTAAGCCACAGAGGGTTGCGATGTCTTGAATGTCCCCCACAGTGCAATGTTGGGAAGAATCCTCAAGTTCCTACATTGATGCAGGGGGCCCTTTGGGGAGTAATTAGGATTAGATGGGGTCATGATGGGGCCCCTGCCTTGGCTTTGTTAGAAAGAGAGCAGAGTTGGCAGGTCTGCTGCCTCATCATGCAATGTCCAGCGCCAGTTACCAGGCAAGGGGCCCTTGCCAGATGCCAGCAGCATGCTTTTGGATTCCCCAGCCTCCAGAACTGAGAGCTAAACCTCCCTGCTTTATAAATGTTCTTGTCTCAGGTATGCAGTTTTAGCAACAACAAATGGACTGAGACTGATATTTAGAAAACAAATCTAAGGGCTGGGGTGTGGCTAGAGATAGAGCACTTGCCTAGCATGTGCAAGACCTGCAGTTACACACACAGACACACACACACCAAAGGAAAAAATAAATGTGGAAAATCTTGCAAACTTGGGCTCAGCAAACACTGCCTGCACAGGAAGCACAAGAAAAACCAAACTGAAAAACGAACTTCATTGTAATTTTAAACATCTGCTTTTTAGGAGATATAATTAAATGTGAGCCACGAGTGAGAAAAGAAGTCACAATCCCTTCTGGGACAAAGGACTTGTCCCCAGAATATACAAAAGTGGTCAAAGAACAGGGAGCCCAGTACTGGAGCTTCTCCAGCGCACGGTCAGCACTTGGGAATGACAGCAGTGACAGTCACATAGGACCAGCTGGAAAGTCACCCAACCATCCAGGATCAGCTGCCCAGCCGGTGCCTGAGAGCTGGGCATTGGCCAGGTCAGTGAGAATGAGAAAGGCAGGGCGGCGTTCTGACTGAGGGACCTGCAGCCCCGCCTCCAGGGAAGGCCCCTTCTAGGGGACAGACACCAAAGGGGACTGACACTGGAAAGGAGGCACAGGCTCAAGTCACCTGTGGCCTTCTGCCCCCCCCCCCATAGCCCTTCCAATGGCAGAAAGAAAGGGCCTGGAAATATGGCACAGATTCAGGTCCTGTGGGGACAGGTATACACGGTACCTGTGGAGGTCTACTTTTGGGGACCTCCTCATTCCTGGGGGCAGGATGGAGCAGCAGGAAGAGCCAATGAGCTGTGAGGCCCGATGCTGGCTCTACCCATGCAGGCCGTCATGGTGGGTAACTCACAGGAGGCATTTCCAGTCCCAGGTGGTGGGGAGAGTCGAGTGGGATTGGAGGTAGCTCCTGCCCGGAGCCCTGCACAGTCCGGCATTGCTGGCTACCCACCCTCACCAACCTCCCGACACGCTGGCCTGATCCTGCCCCTGGGCCTTTGCACCCATCGTGCTGCCACATGGAAAGGGTTGTTGGCTGGACGAACAAGCATACCCCGTGGCCACTGAGGTCTCAGTGCACAGCACTACCTGGGAGAGTCTTCCTGGATCCCCAGCCACACCCCTGGACCCCCACTCAGGTGTTCACACCCTTCTCCTGGGTCCCATCTTTTTTTTTTCCCGGGCTGGGGATGAAATCCAGGGCAAGTACTCTCACACCCCAGCTGCTCATCCAGGTCCTGGGAGGCCAGGAACCCGGTGCCCGTGACACATCACTGAAGCAAGGGGTGATCCTCCAGGCTCGTGTCAGGGCCTGCTGGGGTCCCTGACCCTCGATGAGAACAAAGGTTCACGAGCCAGGTGACAGGTGGAGCTGGGTGGGCGGTTCCCTGCTACATCACCCCACTTCTCCAGGCTGTTCCTCCCTCTGTAAAGAAGTCTTTGGCCCCAAGGGGAGACTCCCGCTCTAGCCTGCCCTGTTAGCCCACAGCGCTGCGTGATCCTGGATGAACCCCAGCCCAAGTGGCAATGAAAGAGGCTCCGGAGGCCGCAGCGCGGGTGGAGGCTTTATTTCACTGTGGGGGAGCCTGGACAGAGGGCGGCAGGCAGGGCAGGAAGGGCTGGCGGTCAGGTGGGAACTGGGCGGGGTGGGCTGCCCCCAGGCCTACTTAGGAGGGGAAACCGAGGCCGGCCCCGGGGGACCGAACCCCATGGGCAGGGGTGGGGAAGCGGAGCTGGGTCTGCAGGGACAAGGCCCTCCCTCTGGGCTGCCCCTCACTGCCTCCTGTGGGGTCTCAGTCCCTCTTGCTCTCTGGGCTTTGTGACCCCCGATCCTTGCTTCCCCGACCCAGAGGAGGGAGCCAGGCCACAGAGGACAGAGGACAGGGAGCCGGGGAGTGAGGAGTGCAGGGGGGGTCCACGGTGTGCAGAGGGGGTGGCAGCCACCTGGTCCTTCAGTTCCTGGCAGCGATGACCACAGAGAGTGCCACGCCCCCCAGAGCCACAGCAGTCGCCCCAAATAGCCACTTCCACGGGATGGACTGTGAATAAAGGGGAGAAGGTGACCAAGATGGCGGAGGGCAGCCACGACCGGCTTCCTGGGCCTCTGCTCCCACCATGCTCCAAACAGACTCCTGGCAAAGCCCTGCTGGCCACGCCTTTCCTCACTCACCGAAACCCAAACCCCAAGTTCCCACCCAGGTCACCTCCTTGTCCCAGAAGAGGCCCACCCCCACCCAGGTCCCTCAGCACCAATCCACCCGACTCAGCGCTGGTCAGCGTAGGGCTGGGCCTCTGCGATCCCAGCTTCCCCGGCACAGCCGGTGACAGAGCACTCCGGCAGGTGCGGGATGAGAAGCGTCCCACTCTCTACCTGCGGGCCCTGGACCTCCGTGCCCACGCACTGCTCACCCAGGCGCCCTTGCCGGGACACTTGGCCGGCAGCCGGCTGGGGTTGCCCAGCATCTTCCGGTAGAGGGCTGTCTCCGTGCTGCGCTGCGCCGCGTGCTTCTTCACCAGCTTGGACAGCTCCGCGTGGATCGTCTGTGGGAGGGGGCCGTGGGCACCACTGGGACCTGGGGCTTCCGTCTGCCCACTCTGTGCTTCACCAAAGGGGGGCTGCTGTCCCCGTTGCCCAAAGGAATGGGGTAGACGGTGCAGAGCACGAGACAGCCAGGGAGGGGAAGGTCCCAGAGGGAAGGCCAAGGACACAGGCCCTGGCCAGGAAGGTGGTGCCCTCAGCCCGGGGAGGGCTGGCAGCATGAGTCCAGCCTGTCCATGTGGGGTCACGGGGACTTAGCAAGCTGGCCAGGGGCCTTTAGCTGCCCATCCCCTGCCCACTGGGAACACCAGAGAGCCACATGAAGAAAAACTTACGGCAGACTGCAGGCAAGACTTCCCAGATAGCCCCACAAAGCAAGTCCTTGGGACACCCCTGTCCTGCTCACCTTGTTGGAAGGTTCCAGCTTCAGGGCTGCCCTCAGGATGGGGATGGCCTCACTGTACTCGCCTTGCTGAGCCAGCACCTGTGGGGAAAGGGCGCCATGCCTGGGGACCACGGCAGGCTTGCTCTCCTTCAAGAGGCCCAGTCCTGCTAAGCACCTGGCCCCCTCTGTACAGGCCCACGGCCCTGGCTTCTGAGTGCTACAGCTGGCACAGCACTGTCCCGTCCAAACCCGCCCCTCTCCCTGTGTGTCTGGCTCAGCCTGAGCTGGACATCTGGGTGCCCCCTTCACTGCCTCCTTCCCTCATGGCCTCAAGGAACTTCCCATGAGGGAAGTTCAGGCCACAGTGAATGACTTGAGGCCAGGCATGTGACCCAAGGAGGTCAGTGAGATCCAGACTGAATGGGGCAGTACCACTGGGAAGCCAGTTGCTAAGGAAAAGAATAAAATTCCGGAGCTTTGGGGAGCTTTTTGGAGCTGGGGTGAGGGTGAGGGGTGAGGGTTAAGGAGCCTGAGGGAAGTCCGTGGCACAAAGGCACAGCATCCCCACATCACTGGGAATGCCTGGATCTCACTGTGCCTGAAGCGAGCTACCCTGGGCAGGAGAGTTTCATGAACCAACAATCTCTCCTTTTTGCTTGAACCTGTTCAAGTGGGTTTCTTTCACTTTCAAACAGTAGATGCTACTGCCACCCCAAATTAGAAACCAGCTGACAACAGCCAGACATGGTGGCACAGGCCTATAATCCCAGCGACTCAGGAGGCTGAGGCAAGAAGATTGCAAGTTCGAGGCCAGCCTCAGCAAGTGCCCTGGATCCACTGCCTAGAGTGCAGATAGACAGGCAAGACACCTCCATGTGCTACCTATCAGAAGGTGACACAGCAAAAATGAAGAGATGACAGGGCAGGGGAGGAGGCAGGCGAGGAGGGCCTCCTGAAATGGTGACATCAGAGCAAAATCCTGAACAGGAGCTGGCGGTGCAGCTCAGGGAAGAGTGCTTGCCTGGCACGTGTGAGGCCCTGGGTTCTGCCCCCAGCACCACACACACCAAAAAAGAAAAACTAAACCTGAACCAGATCTAAGAGACCCAGGCAGGTCCTGGGGTACAGTGACCTGAGGCACAGGGCACAGCCTGGCCAAGGTCCTGGGGCAGGAGGGGCCTAGACACAAGCAGGGAGGAGGCTGGGGGACGCAGAGGAGCAGGAGGTGAGAGAGCAGAGGAACTGGAGGAAGGGGACAACCAGATGACTCAGGGTCCCA